CCCCAAAACCCCAAAACCCCAAAACCCCAAATTTCTTAAAAAATTGGATCTATTATTTTCTAAAGCTGTGGCAAGTTACTTCTCTCTGCTGGTCTTTCACTTAACAACTCATTGATGTTATCCAGGTATCTAAAGAGCCTCTTCTGGGTTGTCAGATACAGCTTGGGGCTATGCTCTTCAAGGGCATTGACCAAGTCTTGACCAAAATACAGGTGGCTGAACTCATCTTTGTTCCTGTCGTACTTGATAGTAGAGGCGAGTAAGGATATTTGCTCTTTAAAGACCAAGTACAGGATACCTATTGTAATATGGTTAGCTTACTTGCGATATACTTCATGTTCACCTTTAGGAGGTAAGGAGTTGACAGGCTAAGCCCACAATCTTCTAATGACAGAAATATCCTCTGGGTAAGGTTCTTCACTATGATAAGGTAACCAATGATCATCTGCTTCTGTACCTGACTGAGGTTGATGATCTTATCACCAATTGTATGTATTCTATTTAGCTCAAACTTGGTTCAGAATTTTTGGGGAATACCTAGAACTGAGACAAGGTAGGTTACTCATCTCTCCCTCTAATATTTGTATAATTTCTGTAGTCTCAGGGAATTTTTCAAGTGCATTTTCTAGGATTTCTAGTACTCTTTCAAGATATTTCTCAAATTCGACAACTCGTTTCCCAATTTGAGATTTCTTGAGGCCACTTTCAAGAAAATTCAGGTTGATCTTCTGGTTAGCTAGCATTTCTTCCAAGAGAGGATGGAACAGATCTAAATAATAGAGACTGATCTTCCTATGGATCTTGGAGGTCTTACTAGACTCCTAAAAGTTTTACCAAGGCTTACACTTTTACGAATTGCTGCTTGAACATCGAATGAATAGGTCAAGTTCTCAGTTGCTTTAAAACTTTTGAACTTAAATTTCAGGTTGTCGGCCCTAGCCTTGAAGCTCTCAAGAGTTCCTCTACCGCTCTCACTGCTTATTGAAGGCTGCAAAGGCTGGATATACCTGGTAGTAGGCAAGCTATTCTAGGTTATTAGAAAAATTACTTGGAATAAGTGTTTGGAAGTTTAAAGTTATACTTCAAAAATGGAGAACTTTGTCTAAAGGACTCCTTTGAAAACGAACTCTTCATATTAAGAGAGTGGTGTTTAGACAAAGAGTTTGAAAATCTTGGTTCTCCTTTTGGGTTATAAGATCCAACTTGATATGCATTATCTGGCTCTTTCTTTTCATCTAACTTGTGTTGCTTATCTCTCATAGATCTGCTATACATCTCATTCATTGTCTTTACTTATGGTTGGCTCCGTCAAGTTCTGTAGGCTGAATATTAAAGTTGGACTTTTGCTTGACCAGATTTTCTCCTATTTTCTAAAACTAAACTACTTTTCTCGTGCTATCTCTTACCTTGAAGGACATCCTTTGCATGCTTGGGTTGAAACTTAGATTCCTACAGTATTAATGTTTTGGAATAAAATAATAGTCTTCCCAAACCCATTAAAGTTGTGAAAAATCATGTTCATGGTTATGTAAGCTTACCTTTTCATTTTGTAATTTCTCAATATAATTTATATTTCTTGGGGTTTTGGGGTTTTGGGGTTTTGGGGTTTTGGGGTTTTGGGGTTTTGGGG